AGACTAGCAGACCACACATTTGTGTGGGTGAGTGGACGCGTGTCTGTCTCCACCTGTATCGCTGTCACTCTCACAGACAACCACCCACTATCTTCACACCTATATCTCTGTCTTTGTGCGTGCGTGCGTGCGTCTCTCTCCCTCTGTGCGTGTTCGTGTGTGTGTGTGTGTTGACGAGTGGAAGTGGGAGGTCTGTCGATGGACAGGTGGATGCAGAGCGATTAACACATTGACACACAGACACACACACACACACACCGACACTCGGACAGACACAGACGGCGTCAAACAGTCTGACAGAGAGAAGAAATAACAGACAGAACTAAGCCAACACACTCACTGATCGACCGATTCGCTGATAATCTGTGTGACAAGGCACCTGGTCACGGAGGGAGTGAGTCAGTGAGTAAATCTTCACAGGGTGTATTGTGCTAAGCGACGCGTGGTCAGTCGGAGGCAGAGAGTGCTTGTGATTGGTTCTCCGACTGGGATGAGTGTCTGAGTTTGGTGTTGTGTGTCAGCGGACGACGAAAATGCTCATCCACATGCCGGAACCCGGGATCGAACCGGGGACATTTAGATCTTCAGTCTAACGCTCTCCCTGCTGAGCTATTCCGGCCTCCACTGGTACTCACTCATCACGCCAATCCATATGCGCACCCATCCACTCACCACTTTGGCGTCCCAAACAACATCAAATAACAAACACATCAACACCTCCACTAACACTAACACACATGCACACTATTCACTCAAACCTACAGTCCACACAGAAGTCCACGTGACTCACTCTTCACCATCAATCGCTACCCTCAGAGACATCCCCACCTCCAACACCACTCTCACCCAACCACCAACCAACACCCCCACCTCACTCTGTCACTCACTCAGCGCCATTCACACTCAGTCAGTCAGCCGGTGAGTCACTCACGAAATCACCTCTCACACTCTCTCCGCCTCACCACTCACCACTCACCACATCACCTTCAACAATCGACACTATCGGATCTATCTCATCACTCTGTCAAACAGAGTCTCCTCAAGCACAATTCATCTGTCGGTGCACAAACTCACACCTCATTCCACTCAACATGTTCACCTCGACATCAACGTATATCCGTCCGTCTCTCTATGTGTAACCTGAAACGAGTAACCCTGATGTTTAGGTGGAATTTGTGTTGAGCGTGTTGTCTGTGTGGATGGAGGCTGATCAGATAAAAGCGCTCCCGCTCCGGGAGTCGAACCCTGGCCCCCTGGGTGACCGGTGGCTGTTCCTGTTGACTAGTGGATCTGGGAGATCTTTCGATGCGTAGTTGTATGGCGAGGAATTCACGCACTCACTCAGACCGCCGCTTGGACAGAGACAGACGGCCTTAAGCAGTCTGACGCAGCGTGAAGCAGTGAGAGCACTAAGCGCCCACACCCACTGAAATCTCGACATCGATTTCTTTGACTTCAAGTTCAACGTCTTACTCCTAGTTGCAGCGTTTTTCCATACGTCCACGGGCATATGTACCTTTATGGTTGAGTAAATTATTAACCGATTGCATTGACATTGTAGTCTGAGAGCACTTCGTAGATTCTTGTTAGTCAGTAAAGCTTAAGCAACCATCCGCAGTTATTTACTCTTTTCCTGGTAATTCATGGAGAGGAGCTCGACTACGTTCTCTCTCAGTAGTTGAAGTGGTAGCAATCAATACCAGGAAACCGGCTGTTTGCATACAGAAGTAGTAGATGGGACCTCTATGTTCACCTCGGCCTACAATATGGCCAACAAATCCTCCACAAACACTTGCAGCTTTTTTATTTTCTCCTTTTTCTATTCATTTGTTTAATTAACAAGCGTTCATTTCTGACCTTTTATGATTTCATGAACTTTCTTAGGATTTCTATCACCTTAGGTTTAAGTAATTCTTTTCTAACTTATTATCATATTTTAAAAATGCTGTTCATTTTACTTTACTGAATTCATTATAATTACTATGATTTGATAATGTTTCATCAATAGTACTTTTAAATTTACATCACATCATCGTTATTATTCCACAATCATTATTATTATTGTCTAATTAAATTTTAGATTTTCCTGTCGATTAATTGGACCGAAGTGTTCGGTCTCAGATTGTCATATCGGCTTCTTGTGAAGATGATTCGACGATGTCTGTGCATGTAATTGGAATTTAATTGGTGGATGGTGAATAATAGTGGAATCTAGGATCACGCACATTTTACGCAACAAATAAATCCACTATTATACACTTTTCCCACTAAGAAATATACCTATCGTATGCTCACATCTCACGTATCAGTTAGACCTTTGAGTGGGATTTGAACAAGAGGCGCGATAAGTTGAGGGGTTAGTTCGAAGATGACACACACAGAAGATAATATGAAGAGGCAGTAGAGGAAAACTTATCAACTGTTGTGAAACCATTTAGAAGTGATATGAAATAACCTGGTGAAACAAACGGTAGTATCTAATTTTAATATAATGTTCACACACCTTCACAATATAGGCTCGGTATGCTTCTCTCCCCAGGAACATATATTGTACATCATTTTCTGTTGGAAAAATAAACGTATGGAATATGTCAGTCTGTGGTGAGGGCTGACTGCTAGCCAAAATCGATAGATAGTAATTTACATCAATGTGTATGTCCCAAATATTATTGGTCATAAGAAAAATAAGAACAAACACCGACTGACTCAACAACCAATCACAGAACACTTTGTTTGAGTAGGCGGATACAATTTGCAGATAGATAATCTGAACTTCAAGAAACACCCCCACAAAGAGATGAAAGATTAACGTTCAGCGAGGAACCACCACCAATCAGAAGACTGTGTTCGTTTGCTTACAATAATCAATAATAATGTACATAAAAAAATCTATAAATACCTGTTGATTTCCTAAATAAACGATCTGTTGCTTGGCTGGCCTTGTCTTCTGTTGTTACAAGTCTACAGTGAATTTTTCAACTTACTCAAACAATCCATGATACTACATACTACTCATATAGACCAGTAGTGTTTCCTAGCTAGATAATATGAGTGATCTAAACAGTGAATGATCATTGAAGTAGGCGCTGAAGATGTCGCCTAGTAGGGCGATGAAAGCTTCGCAAGTTAACTATCCAGCTCAGAGAACACAACCACATCAGAATGGTCATTTCGCTCGTCGTGTACTCCATTTGACTCAGCTCATAGAGATATGAATCAGTTGAAACCACCCAACATCTATATCGCAGGCCGACCATAGATATCAGGTGTGCGTCGGCGTGGGCTCGAACCCCGGACCATGCGCATGGTCGGCGAGAGGCCTCCAAAGCCTCAGGATGGTCGGGGGTGGGTGTCTTGCGCTGCGGGTTGGCTACCCCTCCGTACACCTCTTGAAATGCTCCCATATGACCGTGCGTCTTACATAGCCTCTCCTGAGGAAGTCCTACTCACTGCCTTGACGTGGTGGGTGTTTATTTCACCGAAGTGAGAGGGCAAAAGCAGATGCCCGGCGCTCTTCACCGGGTTGACTGTCTATTGGATGACAGCCTAGGGGAGATGGCTAAACCCTGATTCCAAACCTCCCGCGACTGGCGTATGAAGCTCACCGGCAGACGTACGGACAAAGGGCTTATTGGATGTCCTGGATGTCTGGCCCCATTCAAAAAGGCGTATGAACTGGACTCCGGTCACCGGCTGCCAATGGATAGTGGACTCCCTACTCCACTCCTACTGCCTTGTAGGTCACACTTGGTTGTGTAAAGGCTAGAGCTGCACTCTCAAACAAAAGGCCGAGCGATGCTGGGGACATCACTCGTACCAAAATACCACGAAACTTCATCAACTCTCTTACAAACATTCGAGATGTTCATGAAGCCGGTTCATCGTCCCGTAGGAGATAGCCGAAGTAAAGAAGAAAGAAGACCCAACATCTAGCTAGCTAAATGAGAGAATTGGTAAAATACATCGAGTCGAATCGGCGATTAGGAAATTACACAGACAAACACACACATACAATATATGGTCTTCTTGATACTATAAACAGCAATCAAAAAGGTCAGCATAAATTCATGATACTATATACTACTGTCAAATGATTAAAATTAGTTAGAAAACACCATACACATCAACCATTACTACGAGCAGCAGTAGTAGTGATGTTAGTCAGATCGAAGTCGACTTATGTCTGTTTTCGACATAGAACTTTGCACTGTTGTGCACCAGTTCAAGTCGCCACACCCCCTCTATGTAGCACACACAGCAACAGAAGAAATGCATACTAGATAGACAGTAAACAGAGGTGTGAGACAAAGGAATAGTAATAACGAAGAACAACATAGTTTCATAGGAAATCATAAGTCACAAGGAGTGGATGCATCTTCGCCAGCCACTTAGAACGATTTCGAGCCATATCACCAATTGTTCCCAACCATTGGTTTTTACCGTCCAACCAGGAAGTTTACACCTTCCTACGTGACTGGCTGGCTTAAGCTAACTGTTGTGGATTTCATTGACTGGTGAAGCCATTCTAGTTTTGGTTTGACCGCCGCTAGTTCTTTTCCAGTCTGACCCTTTGTCATCTAACATTGCCCGTCGAGTAAGGCGATAGCTAGACAGATATACGTAACACATGTCCTAACCATCTCAGTCGATGCAATTTCACAGCCTCGTCGATTGATTTCCCCTGCCTCCTTACCTAGCACTCGACCGAAGCCTAACCTCAATATTGCTCACCTTATTATACCACTTCACACGCGAGATAGAGCGCAGGGACCTATGATCGAAGACAGCTAATCTTTTCATGTCTTCTACTCTCAATGGCCACGTCTCACAGCCATAAAGGAGGACGGAGCGGATTGCTGAGCAGTACACTCGCCCTTTGTTCGATATCCAGCCGGATATCACGACTATGCCAGAGACGCCGTAAACTGGCATATGAGAAACTAGCCCTCTGTATCCATGCTAAGATGTTATCAGTGACCAACCCATTGGTACTGGCTGATGGTAATTCTCAAATAAGTGAAGCGGTCAACACGCCCCACCAACCACTTCACTCTTTATTTCTAAACTAGGAGTCAGTGTGGTCCAGTCCTGTAACATCATCTTGCATTTCACGGCGGGAGAGAATCGCATGCTCAAACATTCGTAGATCGCAGCTCAAGGTGTTCAGAAAACTCTGCATTTCGTCAGCGTCTTCACCTAGAAGGACTATATCATCTGCATATTCTAAGTCAACGAGATTATTCCCTGGTGGTAACAAGTCAATCCCTGAGTCGCTGAAGTGAGTTAGGGTTAAATATCCATTAGTAGACTTAAAAATATACTAGACGGAGCAAAGCCCATTGATAATCAGTTGTGTACCCAGCTCAAAAACACCACCACCAACAACAACAACAGCAAAGAGAAGAGACAAAAACACCATTCAGAAATTATGATGAAAAGGAGAAAAACAAAAGGCAACGTCGTCATCAACATCATCCTGGTCATTAACAACGCATGAACACAAAAACAAGGTAATAAGGAGGGTGGGGTAGAGCAGGGTTGGAGAAAGGTGCCATAGACGAAGGCAAGAAAGCAGAAAACAGACGTTTACATACACATATGACAGAAAAATTAATAATAATAATAATAACAACTGAAGACCTATTCATCATTGATTTTGTAAAGCATTGAGAAGTCGGTTAGTCAGTTAGTTAGTTGGTTAGTTACCTAATAAAAGAGAAACCAAGTCAACAACACATTCAAGTATCCCTTCATTCATTCATGCATTCTTCCAAATGTTATTCAATGAAATAAATCGCTGCGGAAACTCTTCTGTTTTTGTCATTGGTTTTCCATCGTCTTTATTTTTTTGAATTAGGATAGAGGATATCATAATGACCAGGTCTGTATAACAGAGTAACAGGAGGATTTGTCTTATAGTCGGTAGTATGATCCTTTTCCTGATGAACAGAGTGTTGATGATGACAACTATCATTGGAAGCCTCTTGCCCCCCACCACCGCCGCCACCACCAGTTCCATCGGAGACGTGTTGTTCATCCCCATCATCCATATTCATTAGATCACTGTGTGCAGGAAACTCAATTCGATTCAATTCACCCGATTGTTGACAATTCTCTACATAAATAGGCAATTCAACAGCTAAAGCTAAGGCAGCAACATGAATATTGTCTGATTCACGAGCCATTGGTTCAACTTCCTGTTGTTACCGTCGGTGTTGTATCGTGTTCGAAAATCAAGGTAAAAAAAAAGAGAAAAAACAAAACAAAAACGTTAGTTTCATGATCAATCTTGAGAGTAATCACCAAATACCTCTGGCGAATGAACATTTGGAAATACATCTGGTGTCCATGAGTGTAACTGACTACACAGGATGATGAACTTGCCCAGAAGTCGTAGCCAACATGGTTCACACCGAGGTGGGTGGATGGCACTGGGAAATCGGACTCCTTCCCACTGACAGAATAGTCATCAACGAGTTCGCCTCATAACTCGAAGGTGCTGGGTCCGATACCATGTAGAGTCATGAGTGCATACTGTTGAAGATTACCACAAAGGACGAAATAACTGCCTAGTACTCTATGATTTTCAGTAGTTCCCTTACTGAAGTCAGCTCATGAACAAACTAGGAAACAATATTATTGAATTGAATTTTTGATTTTCCCGTCGATTGATTGGACCGAAGTGCTCGGTCTCAGGTTGACATGTCGGCTTCTTGTGCAGATGCTTCGACGATGTCTGGGTATTTAATTAGTATACAATTGGTGGATGGTGGCTAGCAGTGGAATCCAGGACAACGCGCATTTCGTCCTATTTGAGACTCGTCAGCTGGATGTACCTGCATTTCTCAGTGAGTGATGATGTTCCCACCGAGGCTCGAACCCAGTACCCATAGTTGGCCCAAGTGGTCTAGTGGATAACGCTTTGGCGTTTGAAACTATGGGTACTGGGTTCGAGCCTCGGTGGGAACATCATCACTCACTGAGAAATGCAGGTACATCCAGATGACGAGTCCCAAATAGGACGAAATGCGCATCCTGGCTGGATTCCACTGCTAGCCACCATCCACCAATTGTATACTAGGAAACAATATTCTTCGCATGATTTTTCACATTGATAAATGTAATAAAAAAGGAGAGGGAACAATAATTTCTATAAGTGTAGAATTTAGTCAGTGTGATAGAATGCAATTCTATATCAGATTAAGCGAACTGTACGTGATAACGACTTCGGAATTCGGTATATGATCCTGAGGTCTATTTGTTCCGAAGACTGTGTAGAGAAAGAACTCCAGGTCATCTGAGACATTCTAAGTACGAACGGATATCCAGAAAAGTTCATTAAAGCCAACATAGGTTAAAATAGTCGCAAACATGAACTGACAACAGTGGAGAGAAAGCCTTTATTTTTACGTATACAATTCAAAGGAGATACTCCTGTGGAGATTCTATCGCAACGTTTAACCAGGGCGATAAGGGAAAACTTTCTACTCTGCACATCTGTTCCTATCATGCAGTAACCATCCAGTGGCCACCCAGAAACTGAAAGATGTCTTATGTAACCTTAGCTCTTCTTCATGGATATACCATTTCAACTGTTCCTGTGGTTTAAGTTATATACGGCGCACGATTAGGCAGGTTCGTCTACAGGTTCAAGAACATTTACCAGCTGGTTCAGCAGAGGGGAAATTAAGTGCATAAAAAGCTCGATCCTATCACACTTGGTCGATACTGGACATCGTATCGATGTCAACACAGCTTTCAGGGTCACGTCAGATAAGTTTATTTTAAATATCTCACACATAGTGATGATGCAGTATTAATGATAACTAGATGACAAGGTTTTGAGAGCATAAATTATTACCACTCATAATCACTAATCAGTTTTAGTCACACGATTTCACAATTCGTCTTATATCTATGCGTTTTCTCTCTTCCTGTCTCTCCAGCTTCCCTTTCTTGTTTGTTGTCACTTTCCATATTTCCGGGATAGGAGTTGAGTCGTTCGGATTGCACGTGTGCGGCGTTGAATCGACGATAAGCAAAGCTTCAGTGATTAATCTCTCCCTCTCTCTCTGTCTCCACCTAATTATATTTACCTTTTATTACTCTCACCCTGTCCCACCCCATGGTGTGCGATTACATCCAACGTATTACCATGGTAATACGTTTTACTTATTATTATTATTATTATTCTTGATTCATTTAAAACTATCCTTTATCAGTAGCACTATCTTAACTCATTTCAACACTATTATTATTATAACTATTACTGTTGATATTACTCTGTTTACAATTCTTGTTATATTCTCTAATGACTAATTGTTTATCTAAGTGATGTAATTGAAGCCTAATCGATTTTATCTTAATTTTGATCTCTCATACTCCCTCCCTCACCCCTTATCTATTTGAACACGACCTGGAAAACATTCGCACCTGTCGTCTTTCTGCATGACTAATTCAATATAGTTTGTTTACTCACTTATCAGTCTTATATCTCCCAATGTAATTTCAATAGTGTACATATATATCCGTGTATGTAGAGTACGTACTGAGCAGCTGACGAGTTCAACCGAAGTTTTGATGAATCCATCATTAAAGCCTCCTGCTTTATTAACCACACTTGTTGCTTGTTTTAAATTCGTATCGGGAAATAAATTGTTTTCAATTCACAAAGAGTGGAACCCGAAAGGGAAGCGACGTATGGGACGTCAGTACAAGGGTGACATGGAGGAGATCGTGTGAAGAGGAGTTGAAAGAATATGGATTATCATGGACGCAGGCGAAAAGTATAGCAGAAGACAGAAGAAAATGGAGACGTGCAGTTGAAGCCCTATGTTCCACTAGGAACCCAAGGAAGCAATAATAAATAATTCACAAAGAACTTTGCACAGAAGTGTAGTAGCACTTCAAATCTCCACACTTGATGTTGTACACGCCATGGAAGACAAAAGAGGAGAAATAGATTTTTTTTGAGTTTTGATTTACAGCTTGATTCCACACTGTATTTTCGGTACAAGTATGGAATTTTCAGCATGGATATCGGTAGCCCAAATTTTGCAGGCCGACCATAGATATCAGGTGTGCGTCGGTGCGGGCTCGAACCCCGGACCATGTGCATGGTCAGCGAGAGTCCTAACCACTGTGCCACGACAATAAGCAGAAATCTGAAGGATAAATATTAGCAATTACGGTGTAAAATATGATAGTTTAGTGTACGTGAGAAAATCACAAAGAGTAAATGCATTGTCGCCAAATGGCAACGATTTTTCATCCCATATCACTAATCGTCATCACGCACATTGGTTCATAGCATCCCGATTATTATTATTATTCCAACTACACAGTAATACCTATTTATAGGACAGTCACTACATTGTGTACAATAAAACAAAAGACACCCAGCTTTCTGAAGCAGTTGCATTCAAACAGTTAAAAACGAAATCCATGTACACAGGGACAGACATTGATGAATCATTCACTTCCTTAGTTATTATGCTTGCATAACATAGGTATAGAATTTCTATTACGTCATATATTCTCCTATATAATCTGTTTCGTTTAAAAATGTTTATTTTTTTAAATCAAGACGTCAGACACCTTACTCCTCCATACAAAGAAGGTCTGTCTGCCTGGATTCAACATAGAACTTGGCACCGAAGTGCAGCAGTTCGAGTTGCCACCTTCCAAATAGCACACAGAGGTAGACAAGAAGATGAGTGAAGAGAATCAATACAGTCTGACAAGTATAAGAGTGAAACAGAATGGGTAATGGTAGAAAGGATTATGAAAGATTACAGAGACTGAATACATCTTCGCTGGCCATTGACAACGATTTTGAGCCATGTCACCTATTGTCTCCAGCCATTGATTCCTAGAGTCCCGAGGGCCCCAACCCGGGAGTCTGCATCTCCTTACCTGACTCAGTTTAACTGTCAAGGGGTTGATTGCCAGTCACTTTTATTCCTGCCATGATTGTTAAGAATAAAAGTGACTGGCAATCAACCCCTCCCCCTCCCCCAACAAACTCAATTAGAAACAAGCTTTTTCGGTCAAAGGATCATCCTGTGTAGCCTTTAAAACAAAACTATTCAGTTTATCTAATACCCTGTCTGCAATCATTGTCAGTGAGGTCAAATACATAGGTCAAAGTAGTAGAACAGGTGCAGTCAGTCAGACTAGCCGAACATAAAAACCTAGCAAAATCTAGATTGTTTGACCCGAATAAGACAAGAAATCTAGAGAATAGTTCAGCTATAGCACTCACTTCATGCAACTACACACAACCATACAAGACGACGGATGGGATAAGATGACAGTTTTGAAATCTTATGTCAAAGAGAGATTAATAACAGAAGCTTTGTTTATCGAATCAGCTGCAAATACATGTAATAGGAATGATTCGACACCTGTCCACCCAGATATCTGGAAAATCCTACTTCCCCTTCGATGACGAATAGGAGAGGACAAAGAAAACCATAAAAGTCAAGTTTCGAAGTTGTATGATTATAACTGCCGATATGGTTATGAACCACAATAAACTGTGTTCAAAACGTCATCCAGTAAATGATAATACTGTTTCATTGTGTGATACATCTAATATACAAGTCAATATGGAAGACGTCAGTCACCTTACTCTCTTGGCTACAGTAAAATACTTGTCTAGTTACGCTACCTACTATACCATCAAACTCTTCTTTGTAAAACTGTTTCTAACCAAAATTTTAGACTCTCTCCCGCTCCTTTTCTCAAAGCATATTCAAGTTTGATCATTGATTGATATCACTTAGAGAACCACTGGAATCAAGCAGGAAGTGCTGGCTAGCTGTGGTTTCCTTGTAGTACGCACCCACCACCAGGGTTTGAACCCAGGGCCTCCCAGTTATAAGACAAGTTCGTAGACCATTCACCACCCACTGGGATCCAACTCAGTGGCCAGCTCATGAATTCTAACTTCTACCAATTCGTAGTTTCAGCACGAGCGCCAGCTAGTGTCACATGTGGTGAGTATCTGTCCTCTCTGGTAACTGAATGGATCCCAAATAGTCATGAATACTCACTACAACTCCGGGTAACTTCGTCCTGTGGCCATTCACTAGGAAGTATCAGATTAATTTTCAAGAGAATATCAAGTATGACCACGGATTGATATGAATTAGAGAACCATTGGAAACCCTAACCCCCTAGTGAGACCTTATGACCAGTGGAGTCCATCCAATCGGGAGTGAGGAAGAATACTCGCCACAAATGACACTGGCTGATGGCCATTGAATCGGGTAGCAGTCGCTGAATGGTCTACGAGCTAGTTTGCCTTGTAACCGGGAGGTCCTGGGTTCTAACTCCAGTGGATGTGTACTGCTAAAGTGTCCCAAACTAGGATGGAACAACTCTCAAGCACTCCCTGATGGTTTCTAACTGACATCAATTCATGATCAAACTGTGACAAAATCCTTGTTTTCTAATTTATATAATCTCGTATTACTACTTAATTGTTATAAGTAGCCGATAACAATCTTCGAAATAAAATTTAAATGATGAGAAACGCCCTAGGGAATTTCTGAGGAATATATAACCTGATGTTGTGGTTGTGAGGTCTTTTATAGCCAACACCCCGCCTCCCGAATGGCTCGAGAAACACTCGGCCTAATTCAGCCTGGGAAACAAGTGGGTAGTATCACCGTCCTACACGTAACAAGTGTGATTCATCAGCTTGGTAATATAAGGAAAGATCTGTGATCCGGGGGTATAATCGAGTTCAAAAACACTATCGTCTCCCTCACTATCTGTTTGTATTACACGGAAATATTGGATCTCGAGCGTCTTTGTTACAAAAAACTAGTGCTAACTTCATATACACCAAAATACAGTAGTTGAAGGGTGCAGCAGGTCAGGTGCGAGGACAAATGCTTGCCAAAGACATTGGTTAGGAATCGCGCTATGTCGTGAATGGGCAGAAGTTAGAGTTTCATGGCCTAGCCGTTGGATCGGGTCTCAGTGGGTTGATGGTCTACGAGCTCGCCTTGTAACCAGAAGGTCCCAGGTTAGAACCCCTGTGGTGGGTGCGTACTGACGAAGAATCCCAAACTAAGACAGGACAGCTGTCAAGTACTCCCAGGTTTTCCAATGGTTCTCTAACTAATGCCAGCTCATGATGAAATCCTGTAACAAATCAAATCCCTACAAACCAACACTTGAATTACAGTACTTGAAAGCGATTATACACAGTCAATTCCATACCCCTGCAAAGCCTAATAATCCCGATGAGAAACTCGATCGATAACAAAGAAGACAGGCGCTCCGTTCAAAATCTATTAGACGGTAAAAACAGAAATATCGAGATTATGGATTTTGTGTCGACCTAGTTCCCAACTCTTCAGTTGATTCTCCAACTCCTACTAGTCAGCAGCGAACAAAAGACAAGAGACATGATACTAGTTACTAACTAGTGGTCCAATCAAAGTACGAATACACGCCATCTTGGAAACTGAAATTTCAATGTCTCAGGGGTGTGCATATATACTGCGAAGTAAACAATCCGACGCAGTCCTTTACCTCGCTAATCCAGAAATACTGCTGGTTAGGAGGAAAGGTTTGGCATGAGGCTGGCTAGCAACTCCATCCTGTAAAATAAAAAAAAACTGCTACAGAAACTTTAAGCCACTAGCTTGAACGTGCCCTATGTTCCTCCACTGGGGAACGTGAAGGAAAAGAAACAAAACAATCCTACCGCAAAGAAAATAACGTCTGTGTTATATGATTACCTCAAACTTTGAAGTTTTAGTAGTAATGGTGTTGTTTTTGAAAAGGAGGGGGTGGGGGTCACCAGATGCACGCACACTACACCTTCCCTCTTTTCTAGACTTCCTACATATATATAGGGGGAGGGGGTTCGGAGTGAATTGGATCTGAACGCCACCTCTGCATGCCTGGCAAACATATTCTATCACAGAACTACCGATATCCATCGGTACAATTGCAAGCATTAATAATAATAATAATACGTAATGATCGGAATAAATAAAAAGATATATACAGTTTTTAAAAGAAAGTACTAAACATACCGTTTCACAAAACTGATTAATCGTTTTACCTTCATCGATAAAATTTACAAAATATGCTGCCTTTTTCTGTATATATGCAGAAACTAAAAGTCTGTAGACGAGAAAAAAATTAAAACAACAGTGGGAAGAGAATGTAGTAACACAGATAAGAAGTCGAAGATTAGCAACGGATAAAGGTAATCAATGTAAGCAGGCATAAATGCACGGTGGATGGATAGTCAGAGGATAGTCGTCCATAGGAAGCCCTGAACCTAGACTTCATGCTTATTTGGCCCTCATCAGCAAGGCGTATCCGTGGATCTGAACCCTCACGTCGTCCAGTGCTGAAGTCAGAGACGCTATCACTGAGCTATTTGAGCTCGTCTAACTGACTGGTTTCAACATAAAACTTTGTATCGATGTGCACCAGTTCAAGTCGACACACCCCCTCCTCCATGTAGCACACAAAGCAACAGAAGAAATGCAAAATAGAAACAGTAGACAGGGATATGAGACAAAAGGAATAGTAATAGCGAAGAACAATATAGTTTCAGTGGATATTATAAGTCACAAGGAGTGGATGCATCTTCGCCAACCATTGAGAACGATTTTGAGCCAGTCATATTACCAATTGTCTCCAGCCATCGGTTTTTGCTAGGGTTCTGTGTGCAGATTTTGACTGCCAGGGAACAGGAATGTAACAGCAGCACGCCAGCTATGCTGTCTTTGCATTCTGGAGAAAGGGGGTTAGAAAAGGTCGACCCAAAAAATTGTACGCCCCGACTTACCCTACGGTGGTCCATAGCCACCAGTAGGTTACTAATACGGAAACAAACCTTAAAAATCAGTTCAAACAGACCACGTGTAACCATCAACATGTAGCAGTTGTCCCCTGAGCTCTGGAGTCATGCAACACACTAATTCTCTTTCTATTTTAGGTACCCCAAGAATAAATCAACTTCCACGGTGTAGGGTGGGGTGCAGCCGGAAAGTAACAACCGTCCACACACTTTGAAAAGCACACAAAGGCCTCCTGATCATTTATTCAAGCTTCAAAGTTTCAGTAGCTGTGATGTTGCTAACCTCATATCCAACCTTCTCTCTTTTCATGGCTCGCTATCGACTACCACACACACACACACACACACATTAGGTGAGGTTAAGCAGTGGATCATCCGAAAGTTGACCCTATACCTTCCACATATGTTTGGAAAGCAATTCGCCATTTAACTACCAACGCATAATACAAACAAATGGGTAATATTAAATAGAGAAAGAGAAAAAAATTAACGCAAATGAGAGAATATATATATATATATACCTTAAGAATACAACATAATAATCTGAATAAGCTTGATCATTGAACACTTCTTCCAGTTCTTCTAATGTTCCACCATCCACTGTAAATCGATCGACCATACCAACAAACTAGAATTATATGAAAAAAAGTAAAAAAAAAAGATCCATATACATACATATATAAATATATATATACATAAGGCGTGAACTACTTATGAGACTTTGTAAGTAGTACATACTGTGTGTGTGATGCCTTCTGCAAAAATACTGAATAGCACAGCGATAGATTATAAGTTGACAAGAGAAGAAACGAGAGATTCTTGTGAGAAATAAAATACATATATTAGAAAGCATGGAAAGAGATCATGCTGGGTTTATATAACCCAGGGGGTCGTCTGTGAATCGAAACCACGCCCTGGCATTCAATAATTTTGCCAAAAGGACTTTATAAACACTGATTTTGCATACTACTGATTAATACGAGTAGTATCCAATTACTATTCATATCAAACAATCAGTAGTATATAACCGCATGCATTTTTATTCAAGTATTGGTTTGTAGAGCTTTGGTTGGTTGCAGGATTTCATCGTGAGCTGAGATAAGTTAGAGAGAACCATTGGAAAACCTACAGGGAGTACTGGACACCTGTTTCCTCCATCCTAGTTTGGGACTCTTCAGCAGTGCGCAACCACTGCCAGGGTTCTAACCTGGGACCTTCTGGTTACAAGGCGAGCTCGTAGACAATTAAGCCACTGAGACCCGATCCAACGGCTAGGCCATGAATTCTAACGTCTGACAATGCGCGATATAGCGCAACCGCTAGCCAATGTCTTCGGCGAGTATTTGTCCTCACACCCGACCTGCTATACCCCCCCCCCCACTGGTCACCACTTCCCGCTAGAATACCAGGTAACTACCTGGGTCCTGGATTCGAACCCTGGCGGTGGGTGCGTACTGATGAAGAGTCCCAAACTAGAACGAAACAGCCGTCTGTCAGTACTTCTTGTTGGTTTTCCAATGGTTCTCTAACCAATATCAGCTCATGATGAAATCCTGTAACCAATCATGTATTTTTGTTTGTTTCCTTGATTGTCTGTTTATGATATCAAGCAGATTATATATTATTTTCTGTGATCTGAATTGACTTCAGTTTTGTAAAGAAAACTGTGTTGATATTTTGCATCGATCTGTTAGTGAGCGTGTGTGTATGTAATTTCCCAATTACGAATTTGATTCGACTTCAAATTGAAGGATGGACGCTTGGGCTGTTGCTTAGTAAGGCATTGAAAGCTTTACAACTAAAACCATCCAGCTTAGAGAAGACAACTACACTAGAATTCAATATTATGTATTAGTAGTTCATCCAAGTTGTGCATCAGTGGTGTGTACACGACTCTCACAAGGTTCATGATTTGATCCTTGACCAACGTACTGATTAACCTCTATTCACCAGGAAGTAAGCCCAGTGAGAAGGGAAGGTTTGGCGTGAAACAAGCGACCCCATTCCATAGAAATAACAGAAATTTTATAGAAACTTTAAAGTTCAAGCTGGAGGCCCTGTGTACCCCTGTGGACGTAAATGGAATTTTAAAAAATAGAAAGTTTTTTTCATGTAACTAGTTGGCTACAACTCGATTGGTTTGAAACGATTAGACTTTCTAAGCTGAATTAGACCGGATGCACCACCATCAATGGGCTCTGCTCCACACGAGCGAAATGGTTGCCCAGTTTTTAGATTAGTTTTGATGTCGCCAGTACGCCCTGTTGGGTAACGTGAGTGATGGTCTGTCCGTCTGTTTACGACATAGAACTTTGCACCGGTGTGCAACAGTTCAAGTCGCCATATTCCCTCCATGTTACACACAAAGCAAGAGAAGAAAGAAAAAATGCATACTAGATAGACAGTAAACAGAGGTGTGAGACAAAGGAATAGTAATAACGAAGAACAATATAGTTTCATAGTAAAATCATAAGTCACAAGGAGTGGATGCATCTGCGCTATTCATTGGGAACGATTTTGAGCCATATCACCAGTTGTTTCCAACCACTGGTTTTTACCGTCCCGAGGACCCCAACCAGTCAGTCAGGAAATCTACACCTTCCTACGTGATTACCTGGGCTAAACTAAATACTGTGGATTTCATTGACTGGTGCCATATTTGGGTTCCACCTCCTCTATCTCTTTTCCAACCTGATCCTATGTCAGCTAACATTGCCCGTCTATCGAGGAAGGCGATGACCAGGCATACGTAACACATGTCTTAACCATCTCAGTTGATGTAGCTTCACAACCCCATCGATTGATTTCCCCTGCCTCCTTACCTAGCACTCGACCGAAGCCTAACCTCAATATTGCTCAGCTTATTATACCACTTCACACGGGAGAGAAAACGCAGGCAACTATGATCGAAGACAGCCAGCTAATCTTTTCATGTCTTCCACTCTCAATGGCCAAGTCTCACAACCATAGAGGAGGACTGAGCGGACTTCTGAGCAGTACACTCGCCCTTTGGTCGATATCCAGCCGAATATCACGTCTACTAAGCCAGAGATGGCGTAAACTGGCATATACGAAATTAGCCCTCTGTATCCATGCTGAGATTCCGTCAAAGATCAACCCGCCCCACCACCAACTTCACTCCTTATTTCTAAGCTAGGAGTAGTCAATGTAGTCCAGTCTTGCAGCGTCATCATTTTACTTACTCGCATGCCAAACATTAGCAGATTGCAGCTCAAGGTGTTCAGAAGACTCTGCTGTATTTTGTCAGCGTCTTAGTCAGTGATGTTATCCAACTACCACTCATATCAATCAGTAGGAATCAAAACACTATATATATATATATATATATATATATATATATATATATATATATAGTAATTACACATAGACGCGATTGTACAGCTAAGTGAATGAATTCGCTGAACAATTATTTTTTGTTCTTATATTCATAAAAGATTATTGATCAATTGTTCATTTACCTGTTCATGGAAATCTTCTACAGTGAATTGTGTATAACCATTTGCAATTAGTGTATCTTTACATTCATCACATTTTCTCTTGAATCTAAAAATAGAAACATGAGGGGCAGAGAGAGAGAGAAAGAGAAAAAAAACTAAAAATTAAATCTAATTTAAAAATATTAGTATTTTAGAGGTGTAGTGGTACCATTTGCCTTAGGTACTTGGCAGCTCCATCATTGGAGGCTGGCGTTCGAATCCCGCTGTATCGACTTTAGTTATCGACCAAAATGGGTATTACTATTATTATTTCCTCTAATTTCTAGAGGAACATAGGGCTTCAGCCTTGCGTCTCCACTGGGTTCGATTCTCTGCTAGAATTTTCACCTGGCTCCAAGTCTGCCCACATGTTTTCATCTCCTCTTCACATCACTTCCTCCAAGTCACCCTTGGATGACCAACTCACCGCTTCCATTCGGGTTCTACTCGAGCAATGGCTTGTCTAGTGATGTCACTTGATGGTTTCCTCAGGGTATGGCCAAGCCAATCCATCTCCATTTCTTCCTGCCTATTTGTTGAACAATCGGTTTCTGATGGGTTGGTTCGCTCCCAGATATCTCTGTTACTGATATTTTCTGGCCGGCCATCTGATCTTGAGCGAAGTAATGATAGCTGTTGATGAAGGTCTGTAGTTTGTAAGTCTTCATGTGATAAATATGCCTCTTATAGTTTGATACAAATAATATCTGTACTGGGTAACAGAGTCGAACGACATGTATACTCTCAGAGAAATGTTTCTTTCACCTTTCTCACAGTTAACACTTTGTCGTGTTCTAATATGTTGAGAAGAAGCTATTCGCAAAATAAATTTCAGGTATGATTATATATATATATATATATTCCCAACACCAATGTCAAACCAATGCTTCCATACATCTCAGGGGCTTGGCATGTTAAAGCCTACTCTACAGACTTTCATCAACAACTGCCACCTTTGCTAGCTTCATAGTGAAGATCAGATAGACAGCAAGGATAACCGACAAGGAACTGTGGCAACGAATCAACCAAGAACCTGTTCATCAACAAATATTCAAAAAGGCAAGTGGAGATGGATTGAACATACGCTGAGAAGACGATGGAAAAAGACGATTTCATGAGTCAGTCTATCGATCAAGTGAAACTCGAATAGGTGGCAATGAGTTGGGCATGAGTCCAAGGATGAAATAGATAAGATCATGTGGAGAGGAAATGGAAGCTTATGGCTGGCAATTTCCAAGCCAGCTTAAAAGGACGGCATAAACAAGAACAGAGTGAAATGGAGATGTGCTGATGTGAAGTCTTCTGTTCCACTAGGAACTCAAGGCAACTTCGTCAGATTAACTTTGAAGAGTTACTTCGATTTATTCCAAGTGTGATCGCGAATTGATAATCAGTTAGAGAATCATTAAAAAAAAACCAAGGGATGAAGTTGCCCGGAGTTCTAGTGAGAAGTCGTCACCAGTAGGGTCCACCATCCAAAAAAGAGTGAGGACAAATACTCTCCACAAATGACAATGGCTGATTGTCGTGCTAAAACTATGAACTGATAGAAGTTAGGATTCATGCGCTGGTCGGACCCAAGTGGATGATCTATGACCTTGCCTTGCACTGGATAGCCCTGGGTTCGAAACCCAGTGGGTGAGTACTTCCGGTGAGTCGCAAAACAGGACGAAACAGTTGTCAAGTACTCCCTGGTTGGTTTTCAACAGTTCTCTCTAAGTGATATCAATCCGAGGTCAAAGTTGAAACAAATCAAACAAATCACCTTCCTTGGCGGCCTGTTTGACATCTGGGCTACCTTTTTCCTGCATCTACATATTGCATCTAATAAGTCATGTTTTCATTCCTAATTTTAATAAAATATGATCACAAATCGCATAAAATACAGTAATTCATTCATTAAACGTTTTAAACCATATGACTTTCATGCATCTAATAAATCTAAGAGAAAACATCACGCTGGCTGGCAGCGTGCACTTAAACAGACACCTTTATATCGTACAACCATTCCTGTTATTGTCACTTCAAACTGCCGTTCACTTCCCAACAAAATTATGCATCTCCAGTCTCTCTTATCATCTGATACTTATCACAATACGGCGATTGTTGCATTACAAGAAACATGGCTCCATGAACTCTATGATGACAATCTGGTTTCCCTAAATGGTTTTACATTGTTTAGACAAGATCGACTATGCTCCAGAAAGAAAAGAGGTGGAGGTGTTGCAACTTTCATTCATTCTCAATGGTCAACTTCAAATAACGTATGTTTTTCTTACTCTAATGACTTTATTGATTGTATAACGGTCAAATGCCGCCCGAAACACTTATCCAAGTTTAAATACGTCTTCATCTCTAACATTTATGTTACTCCTGGCTGTTCTGCATCTGATCTATCTGATTTTGCTGATGAATTCACTGAATTCGCCGTTACACATCTTGAAAACTCTTTATCAGTTGTCACAGGAGATTTTAACTGCTGTGATTGTTCTTTCCTCGTATCATTAGGTCATGCCAATATTGTTAAATTCCCTACTCGACTTGATAAAACCCTTGACCTAGTGTTCATTAATGATGAGGAAATATATGAAGTACGCCGACGTGCTCCTATCATGAACTCAGATCATTGTATTATTCGGATATTACCTAAGATATACAGCAGATCTCACTTTAATATCTTCTCAAATCTGTCCAAGAAAACACAGCAAAGGTGTTACTCACAAGAAAATATGCTCAAACTAAGATGTATGCTAAATGACACTAACTGGGAACTTTTCAACGAACACAAACTGGATGATACTATTTCCAATTTGACTGACTATCTTAAATTCTGTCTTGATATATGCTGTCCAAAACAGATAATTTTCAAAAGAATGGATCGTTTTTCTTCCCCTCATCTCAAAAAACTTCGTAGAGAAAAAGAGAAGCTGTACAAGACAAAGAATAAATCTGGTCTTAAGAAGATAAACACCCAAATTAAATCTGAAATCAAGAGACTAAACAACATTTATAATCAAACAATACTATCTTGTAAAACCTCAGAAAACATATGGAAGCTTTTTAGAGAAATTACTGGTTGTGGTAAGCATAATAATTTTGCCTCTTCTATTGATGTAAATACTCTCAATAGATCTTTCATCCGCCCTCCAAATGTCCTTTCTGCCTTCAATTTAACTAATAACACGACCAGTGACTTTCATCGTTTCAATACTTCTGATGTTCTTAAATGTTTGAAATCTCTTAAACCTTCCCAGAGTCTAGGCCCTGATGGTATACCTGCCATTGTTTTAAAGAAATGTGCTGATATTTTAAGTAACCCACTTACAAGCATTTTCAATACTTCTTTTTCTAATAATAATGTACCTTCTCTGTGGAAAGATATTAAAATCATCCCTGTACCCAAGTCTGGTTCTGGAGATAGTGTTAAGTTTAGACCAATTGCCATTACCTCTCCTTTTTGAAACTGATGGAGAAATTACTGTTACAAAAACTCATTCCCTCCCTAAGCTTCTCAAACGATCCAAAGCAGTTTGCTTACAAACAGGGTAGAAGTACTTTGGATGCTGC